CAAATTGGGGGACCCATTGTCACATCGGTGGATCTTATCCACCTTAAAAGATGGTCAACAATGGACCATCTACTGGCATAACAATGTTAAAGATTCAATTGGGTCCCATTCAACATAATAGGTCTCACTACCAAATTAGTAGTGGATCCCACCTATAAACAGACTCATTGTGGAATTTTTTTTTTACTTTAAAATATCAAAGTGGGCCACACCCACTGTCAAATCAGCCTAGTGGGTCCCACTTGTCAGCGGGGCCCACTGTTAAAATATTCAATATAAAAACATTAAAGTGGGCCACGTCCACTATCAAACCAATCTAGTGGGTCCCACCTATCAATGGGGCCCACTATCAAAATATTTAAGTTCAAAACATTAAAGTGGGTCATGCCCACTATCAAATCAAACTAGTGGATCCCACCTGTCAGTAGGGCCTACTGTCAAAATATTTAAGTTTAAAATCTTAAAGTGGGTCATGCTCACTATCAAATCAAACTAGTGGGTCCCACTGTGAAAATATTTAAGTTTAAAATCTTANTTAAGTTTAAAATCTTAAAGTGGGTCATGCTCACTATCAAATCAAACTAGTGGGTCCCACTGTGAAAATATTTAAGTTTAAAATCTTAAAGTGGGCCACACCCACTAACAAATCAAGCTAGTAGGTCCCACCTGTCAACGGGGCCCACTGCTAAAATATTTAAGTTTAAAATCTTAATGTGGGCCATGCCCACTATCAAATCAAATTAGTTGGTCCCACCTATCAGTGGGTCCTACTGTCAAAATATTTAAGTTTAAAATCTTAAAGTGGGCCACGCCCACTAACAAATCAACCTAGTGGGTCCAACCTGTCAACGGGGCCCACTGTCAAAATATTTAAGTTCAAAACATTAAAGTGGGCCATGCCTACTATCAAATCAAACTAGTGGGTCCCACCTGTCAGTGGGGCCCACTGTCAAAATATTTAAGTTTAATATATTAAGGTGGGTCTTACCCACCACCAAATCAGTATAGTGGGTCCCACTTTTTACAGATTAATGGGACTCACTGTTAAGATGTATAAGTTTAAATACATAAGTACCCAATGGTGCATGGGTCCCATGCCCTGTCTACCAATTGTGGGGCCCACTCATGGGTATAACCCGCTAAGAGTCCAAGCTGATGGGACTACTTATACCTGTTATTGGGTTTAACCCCTTACAAAGTAGCTCTTTCACATAAAATCAAAATCAAAGGGTATTTCCTTCAAGGAATATAATTAAGGGGTTTAAGCAGACATAGTGCATACTTATACACCCTGAATAGGGAAACCCTAATTCTACTCAAGTTCTTTTTTTTTTTTTTTATGAATTGTGATCAAAATAGTCCTTTACAATGGAAATGTTTGGATGGTTTGCTTTCTCTCTTGAGTAATGTTTTCTTGGATCCTTGCTTGTTTGACAATTGAGAATGGTCTATTTCTGCTTTAGATCTTTTTTCTTATGCCTCTTTCTTTAATGCCCTATGCCCTCCTCCAATCCTCGGGGCAAGCAGTATCTTTTCCAGCTAATAGGTTTGGTGTAGTCCAGTATCTCCACGAGTTAGGGCCTTCTACTGGGAAGTGGTGCTCAATAAGTTAAACACTTGTGACATGCTATAAAACATGCTATAAAAGAGGAGACCAAATTGGTGTCTCTCCCCTTATATCTGCTTCCTCTGCTTTGATTGTGATGAGACAGCAACCCACTTACTAATCTCCTGCTTCATTGCTTCTTGTATTTGGATATGGTTTTCTAATCTTCTTGGTTGTGGGTGGTTACCTCTACTTGTGTTTCTGGCCTTTTTGATACAAACTTTTTTAGGCAGCCAATGAAAAAGGGTAGAATAATGTGGAGGGCTGTAAGGGCATCAATAGTTTGGGTGCTTAGGGAAGAAAGAAACAATAGAATCTTCCAAGAGAAGGCAAGATCAATGGAAGAGCTAATAGATATCATCACCTTCAAGGTTACTAATTGGATGAAAACTTTGGAGTTGTTCAAAGATTATTCATTTGATGATATTTTAAGGAGTTGGATGGCAGTTGCAAGTTCTTAAGCAATAAAGGCTTTGATACAAGAGAGTTGGGCCCCACCAACAAGTCAAAGGTTCAAGCTAAATTTTGATGGAAGCTCTTATGGCAACCAGGGTCCTTCGGGTGTTGGTGAAGTAACAAGAGATGGTGACAACAAGCTTGTGGTTTTATATTCCGGGCCTATAGGGGAGGGAGATCTCTTAGGGCTGAAGTTTTAGCTCTTCCCCAAAGGCTAAGATTATTGAAACAATTGGGTCTTAGACAGGTGGGAGCAGAAGGTGATTCAAAGATGGTAATAGGATGGTTACAACCAGGCAGTATGGGGATATGGAATTATAGGTAGACCCTAAGGGAGATTAGAAGCTGACGTGGGCAGAAAAGAAATTACATGCAACACTTAGTGTACAGCAGTAAGCACAAGAAATACCAAGCTGAAAACAACAAAACAAGTTGAATTTTTAGGGATTTCAGACCTGAACCTGAAGTAGAATTCTTGGAACAGTTATGCTACAGTAACAATAGCATCAAGTTGGCCTCTTGCACGGACACACAACGATAGAGGGATTGGAAGGTGCCAAAATGGGTTGCTCTTCAAAACCCAAGCTCCCAATACTTGAAAACCTTAGTTAGGGCTGAGCTAAAACTCAAACAAGAGAGAAGGAACTAAAAAGGACCCCTACAAAAACAACCCCCTTCTCTTTTATAAGACTCAATGGCTTGTTTGAGAAACCAATTAAAATATTTACACATAAGCCCCTAGAATGTTTCCCTTTCACAAACAACTCCTTAAGAACAAAGCTAACTTCAAACAAACCCCCAAAAGATCACTTTTGTTACAAAAAGACCCAAGAGACCAAAACCCAACAGATGTGCACCCAATTTCCCCTGACCAGAATCTAAATTATAAAATGGTGAAAATTCCTCTGGTCCCAAACTGTCAACAAAGCTACCCAAAAACAACAATTTGGGATCCTACTACAAAAAACATGCAAAACAGAATACATTCTCATGTTTTTTTTCATTTTTCTTCTTTTTATTCCTTTTTTTTGTTCTCTATTTTTTATCTTTCTTTTTTTTCGGCCTCAGCAGAAGCCTTTCAAGAGAGATTGATGTTTCTTTTAAGCGGGTTAGGAGGTTAGCAAATAGTTTGGCTGATGGATTTGCAAGACAAGGGGTAAATAGAGTTGGATTGCTTTGGGCTGAACTGTAATTCTGAAGTCTTTTGTGGTTTTAGTACCCTTTGCTATGGGGCATAACCTCTGTAATGTTTTTAAAGTTAATCTATTGAAAGTTACCGTTTTCTATCCAAAAAAAAACTCGAGCCACTACTATTAGAACATATTCAAATAACTAAGTTATATCAAATTCATCATTCCAAAAATGCCATATCTTATTGGCAAAACTAATAATTTGGATGGATCAGCTATTGGTTCCACATCAGTAAATAAAACAACACCATGAAGTGTAATCAACTTTTTTAATCTTCTCATTGTAGGGATGCTACTAATCCCTCCCATATTCCAAAACATTCCATTCATGTTTGAGTTAGACCAGACTTACCTAGGCCGATCTGAGAACAAGTGGATCTCCTTGCCTCCTCACTAACCAATGGTTTCTCTTTCTCCCCTCTTTTCTTATTCTTCAGTCTTATTTGGTTTCAATTCATTCATTGAGTTCATACTGTTCCCAATTTGCTCTCCATCTGACAAAAAAGGAAGACAGGGTGATAGTTGAAACCAGTTTCTGAATACAGTTGGCTGGCTGCTAATTGTCAACCATTGGTTTGCATGCGACAAACTGTTTTTACAGCACACTGAATCCAGTAATCAATTCAAACGGAATTGGGGATGTTCTCCAAAGTTTCTCATCGGTTGACCACTACACCTTTTCCCATTATTTGACAAGACTGTTAAATATTTCCTTCCAATTTGTAGAATTGTTAAATGTTTTTTATCAAACTCTACCCATCTAATGCAATTAGGATATTTTTGTCCACCCTAACTTTCATCCAGTTCAGCAGGTACCTGGACATCTCAAGAACAGAAGTAAAGATACTTGGGCTTTTAAATTCTGAACTTCTGGTAGTGCTAGTAGCATATGAACAACACCTGAAGTAAGATTTGCATGCAAGCCAATGTGCTCTTAAGAGATTCCCAAGAGAGTTTTGGAATCCATGAACCATTACTGCCTACCATCCCATCAGTGTAACTACTAAATATTCTTTTGTTACCTTCAAATTTTTTTCCCTGGGACCATCTTTAAGTTGTATTAGTCATCCTAGAAGGGACATCTTATGAGTCAATACAGACGGACCTGCAAATGGATGCAAAACTGCTATTACCTTACAACCTAATAGCTATTTTGTCCATCTGCTTTGCATAAGAGAGAATTATGGCCTTAATGCTTGCATGGTAACATCCAGGTTTAGTTCCTTTCCCCGGTTATAATTAAAGAATAAAAGAATATAAAGATCAGATTGTACAAGCATAGACCCATGCAATGTTTTGAACTTTATTATCAAAGAAATAACTTATAATAATTATTAACAAAGAAATACTTATAATGAAATGTTGAAAGAAGTAATCCAAACCTCAGAAGATACAAGTGTCATATGATATTGATGTCAATACAACAGGTACTAATACTATTTCTGAATTCTTGAAGGTATTATAATTGTGATATAGTTATCCTAAAGTAGGTTTTCATTTTTATTCACAATAAATGAATTTATATTACTTTGACCGTATATAGTTTAATCTTTGCATCTATTGGACCAAACCATTCATACAAGGAAGTTTTTAATTAGAATTGCAACAGATTATGAAGGAAATATTTTTTTTTCTTTTGTTTTTAAAGAAAATGTGTTCCTTCTTTGTGTTTCAAAGCATGATCTTTTAAACAAATGGAATGAATTCCCTTAAGATGTTTTGTTGAATAAACTAAGTTTGGCATGCAGAAATCATTTGAAGAAGCCATGGAGTCCATTGAAAAAATGAGGCAGAAAGATACTAGCTGAGGAGGTTAGCTGCCTTTCTTGTGTTTCTTCAAAATTTCCTTTAGTTTCCCATCCATGAAGTTCACTTAAAATTATCTAGCAAGGACTTTCCTCTGTAAAATAATGTGTATATTTAAGTTGATATGATGGTAAATATAGGCCGTAACTATGTGCCTTTTGTTTCATTTTACTAAAGAACTGCCACATATAGGCTGTTCTAAGCATGGTCAAAGAATAAGAAATGTTTGAAGGTGAGAAGGAGATGCCTTTTCCGATATTTTCTTTTGGTAAGAGTCTTTTCTAATGCAAAAATACTGAAGTATTAAAAATTAAATCAAGATTAAATTAAATTTTTACTTATCTTTTCTAAACCAAAAATGCAAGTGCAACAACAAAAAGAATAAAATGATGGTGATAATGATGAAATAAAATTTACATAAATCTCGTTAGAGATGGCAACCTGTAGGGTACACGTGAAAATTGCCCTTTCCATTCTTGAACCTGCATAGGTACCCATGATTGGAGACAAGGTGAACATTGCCCTTTCCAAAATTCAATCAAGTGAAAGCCTAATCGGCATTACTATTCAGATGCAAGGTGAACCATCAACAGAACGTAGCATGCTAGGTTGAGTCCATAGACACTATCGAGAAAGATGATTGGAGACAAGCCATCATTGAAAAACTTAGGAACTCCACATCCACAACATAAGATAATAAAGTGCTATTGTGCTACTAATTAGTGAACGGGGTACTATAAGTGCGGTGGTGAGGCTATGTATAAGGGTCTCCTTGAAGGACAAAGGAAGACCGAGTGTAGGAGGTAGGCTAAAGGTTAAGGCAAATGTGAATGATAAGATGATCCCCTCGTTATGAGATGGACCCTTATTTATAGGGAGGGATCCCGAGGTCTTGCAAGGAAGAAGCTAAAAGCAGTTGATTCCCATTATGAAAGGGAATATTTGATTCATTATCAATTGTCAGGGAATACTGCCAGGGTTTCGCCATGTGTCTTACGAGATATTTTCGGGACTACCTTTCATTTCGTTTGAGGATTTTCATAATCTACGTGTGGTGTTTTCTTTTGTGACTCATTTAATCGATGTGACACGAATGACGTTATTATTTAGTTTGCGCGTATTCATTAGGCCCATGGAGCATCACGTCACGTGCATAAATTAGTAAGGCATGTGTTTCTAACATTTATTCTTGGTTTGTGGTGATCCTATGCTTGTCACGATTGCGATAACTTTGAAGCCCATTGCAAATCCGCATGTGTGCAAAGCTCATTGCGTGATTGTGCATGTCTAAAAATCATTGCAAGTCCGCGGGCGTCTAAAGCTTATTGCAGGTTTATTCTGGCCAAAGTTCATCACAACCCGTTTCGAGTATGGCTTTGTCGCAATTATGCGGTGATTTGTGAACTTATCGCAAATGTCCGATGAGTTGTGAACTCATCGTAAGCATCCGTGTGTATTAATTCAACACCTTACTCTAATGGTCTGAGTGACCACTATGTACCTATAGGTACTATATCACAAAATGGAAAGTGGAATCAGAGCAAGGTGTCTAGGACCCACAGAAGCAACAATAGTGTTAAGGGAGACCCATGAAACCTACTGCAGAGATATCACAACTTTACTATACCGCAGATTACAGAGACTAGGGTACTATTGGCCTGAGATGAAAAAGGGCACAACCAAGGCACATAATGATCACGATAAGTGCATACCAAAGATTGACAAGAAGGAATGCCTTGCTGTGAGTTATGTAGATTGGAGAGATGTAGTGCATACCAAAGACTGACAAGAAGGAATGCCTTGCTGTGAGTTATGTAGACTGGAGAGATGTATACATAGCTTATCTTAAGGAGGGTGTCTTACCCCTTGATCTCCATCGAGGAAAAAATTCCGGTCTAAGATCAAGAGGTTCTACATACAAGATGATCTATTATATAGAAAGTCTTATACAGGAAAGCCCTTGTGATGCTTAGTTGGTTATGAAATAGAAGAAGCCCTAGAAGCAGCCCATAGCTTTGAGCCAGCCACTCATTAGGGGCAAATAGCCTTACATAATCACTTATTGCACCTAGGCTTCTATTGTCCCATGATGCTAGAAGATACTCAACAACATGTAAGGCGATGCCATACATGCCAAATACACGGCTAGAGAATACATCGGCCGGTTAACAAACTCCATCCCATCGTAGCACCATGGCCTTTCCACACTCAAGGCGTCAACTTGATAGGCAAAATCCACCCACCTTCCAGAGGATATTACTCATGATAGTCGCCACAAACTACTTCACCAAATGGGTAGAAGACATACCATAAAGGCGGATCTGAACCAAGAACGTGGCCAACTTTTTGAGGCAACATGTCCACAGGTTCGGGGTCCAAATGAATCCTCGCTGATAATGGATTGACAATCAAAAACCAAGAGGTTCATGACTTATTAGAACAATACGGGGCACAATTGGGAATCTTAACAGCATACTACCCATAGGGAAATGGACAGACAAAAGTGACTAACAAAACACTACTAAAGATGTTGAGCAAAATAGTCGTTGAAAATAAAAAAGACTCGGTTGATAAGCTATCTAAAACATTATGGACACATCGCAAATCGCTTAGGAAAAGCACATAGGCGACACCCTATTCCTTGGTCTTTGGACAAGAGGCGGTCTTGTTGGCAGAAATACAAGTAGTTTTGGCCAGAGTAGCCTATGCGATCGTGAAACATTTCCAGGCAAAAGAAATTAACCAGACACTCTGCGATAGACTAGAATTTGTAGAGGAGGATAGAAAAAAGTCTCTCCAAAGGCAAATTAAATACAAATAACTCATGGTATCACATTTCAATAAGCTGGTCAAATCCTGAAAGTTTAAGGAAAGGGACAAAGTGTTAAAGACAACCCTACATGCGTGACAAGGCAAGTTAGCTGGAAATTTCGCACCCAACTGGATCGGACCATACATCACCAAGGAAGCATACCCAACTAGATATTATGTATTGTGAGACCTACACACAAATGAACAGGATGAAACAATAGATGGCCATTTGCTCAAATTGTATAATGAATAATGTTGTTATTCCGTTCTTTTTCTGATCTATGTATATTGAATCATCATGCACCTGTTAATGAGATTTTCTCTTTTTCAAATCGGTGTTATCGAATCATTATTAGGCTTTGCTTCCTTTAGCTATATGTCACTTCATCATTCATTTGCCGCAAATTTGTGATAATTGAATCATTATATAATTGATAATGATTGTCTCTTCTTACTAATTATTTGATGTATTTGAATCGATAAATATCTTATATACCATGGCAACCCCGGGAGCAATCTTACATACCTTGGCAACCCTAGGAAGGCCCTAACAACCCTAGTAAGGTCTTGGCAACTCTAGGAGTGATCTTACATACCTTGGCAACCCTAGGAGCGACCTCACATACCCTAGAAACCCTAGGAAGGCCATGACAACCCCAGGAGCGACCTCCCATACCGTGGAAACCCCATAAGTGATCTTACATACCCTGGCAACCCCATGAGCGATTTTACATACCCTGGCATCCCCAAGAGCAATATTACATACCCTAGCAACCCTAGGAGCGACCTCACATACCCTAGCAACCCCAGGAAGGCCTTGGCAGCCCCAAGAGCAACTTACACCCCTCGGCAACCCCAAGAAGCCCCTATCAACCCTAGGTGAAAGTTCACATCCCCTAAGAAACACCAAGAAGGTCCTGGCAACCCCGATCACAAAGTTCACGTGAGACACGATGACTGCAAGCAGCCATTAGCCTCTGACGACACTAGGATGTCAGAGCAAGGTATACGCATGATACAACAAGTAGAAAAACCTTACTCTACCCAATCAATCATCGCAAACAGATATAAGCACGAAGGCCATGAGATTTTTCCCATACAAAAAGCGACAACAAACCATGACTAGACTAGCAGGGGGCTCAACCCATACCACAAGATCACAACCCGACCACACCAATGAACAATAAATACTCATAATTGATGAGAAACCACTGCAATGTGCCAATTACAAACTAAGTTCGTCACAAACTTGAGGGATTTCTAAACACCCATCGTGGAAGTTAGATAATAATCTATGCTCATCGCAAGCGCATGCACTTGTCACCCTAATACACTATCGACATGATGCTATGTATGTGCCTCAATCATTTTTCACTCATTAAATATTGCTCACACGCATTGTCATCACCTTGGGATCTTATCACACTCCTAGCAAATAATACGTTACTCGACCAATGGGAATAACAAAAAATACAATACAAGATAACAAGAAGGTAAAAAGGCCCACAAAAGAAACCAATGTTTTCATTAATCAGTATAAACATATGTACACTTACATGGCAAATTGGTAAACACCAAAGGGTTACACACAAAACATTCATTTACTCAGATGAAACCATTCGTCGCGCATTTTGGTGATCTCTTCTAACTTTGCCCTCTGCCCCTGAACCTCGATGATCTCTTGACGCTCTTCCCACAACTACAATAACCCCTTTTGCTAATGCACGGCTTCATCAAGAAGAGCTGCTATCTTCTCCTCAGTCTTTGAGATATAGGCGTCCACAACCTTTAATTGCATGCAGAGCTCATTCAGGCTCTTAGAAGATAATGGGTTGGACTCCTTATGACTAGTTCTCCAGAACACATGAGCCATGTGAACCACCCGCTCTTCAATATGCTCCATCTTGAAGCCCATTGCGGCGAAAAAAACGCAATTCTTCATTAAACACTAGTCGAATAAAGACCATGACAATGATGGAGTTCATCAACCCAACCACTATGATCAAGGAGGCACTCATGACCACAGGAGGAAATTCGATAGTAGGCAACCACCCTTTCTGATAATCAATGACATTGTATTTGAGACATTTGAGGGATACGACGAACTGCTCTTGTCTACAAATGCCCTAAACAACGACAAGATCAAACATTGCAAAACCCGATAAGCACCATTTTCCTCCTTTTTGTTGTTAATTCCCGGCGCACTATCGCGAGCTCCATGGAGATCTCCAAATCACCACAATGTGGGTCCAACACATCGGCCTCCACCGGTTGAACATCCGCTAGAGACTCTTCTGAAGCACTGTCATCATCCATGACCACCGGAGACTCATGGGAAGGCTGCGCCTGCCCTTGTGTCAAATCAGGAGTAACTACCTCTGTAGTATCACGAATGACTACGAGCTCTTCCGAAGCACTGAAAGGTCGTACGGGCTCTACAACAAGGT